GTTTTAATCTTATCAGTTTAATGTCTTAAATATCATTTTTTTAATCGATATAATGATAAACTGCACCATCGTTAATTAAAATAAAAAGCTCATTATAGATACATTACATTGTACTTAAATTAACAGGTCCATGGTATTCTCATTTATAAAATAAATCCGTGCTAATTGGAAATCCAGTACGAGAGGAATTATAATTCCAGCACGTTTCGCTCGGTCTAAAAATAGGTTCGCTCGAAACCAATAATCGACAGTATTTTTTTTATATATAGCCAGCATCTCCCTTTAATATTAAAATTATTATTCATATATTCAGTAACAGAGTAACGTTACATTAGATTATTATTATTATGGAAGCACGATCTTCCATTTGAAAAAATCAATATAATAAAAGATATAAATAAAATGTTATGACATGTCAAATATATTTATGTTAACTTTTTTTTAGGGTTGTGACAGAATATTAACTAGAAAGAATTTAGAAATTAAAAATCCATCTTTTTATATTACTTCTCATAGGTGTTTTTTTTTTTCAGTGCGGTAATATTTTATTAAATTCTTTATAGAACCAAAAGATTGATTCATTATATTGAGTATTATCTCCTCTTTCAGGAGTAATGAATAAACACACCCTTTCTAGAAATTAAGGTGAAGTCAAAAAGCAAACTTCATTTTCGCGTAATTCAAGAAGTATACAATTTAAGGTTGATTATACTTATAATAATTAGAAAAGTTTTTCTACAAAAAGTAAAAAAAAAAAAAAACCTTCAAAATTGGACCATTTTTAGCAATTGTATTTGTGATTTACAAACGTAATAATAAAAAAAGTTCGAAAAATATATAATTTTTAATAGTTGATTGGTGATTGACTGTAGTGAAAATTGAAGAGACAATGGTTGGGGTCTTATATAATATCATTTATCTATTTTTTTACTGAATACTCCAACCAACTTCTTTTCAATATACAATATTTAATTTTCTTGATACTTAAGAAGTAGTAATAATAAACGTAAAAACAATGAAACTAAATTTACTGAAAATATTTTAAAATGAAGTATCAATTCTGTTTCCAAACTTAGTGTTATAAAGATGACTATGTAAGTATCTGTTAAAAATAAGAGGATGACAAATGATTAAGATGTGCAGTAATTAGGTTGTTTATTAGGTTTGCCGAAGTTTCGACCCAGGCATGTGGATTATCATCAGGGCAATAGTTGCTGGCTGGACTTACAAGAGCTTTCAGCAACCACTGCCCCCATGATAATCCACATGCTTGGGTCGAAACTTCCAGAAATATAATAAAATGAATAACCGCATATAATGATCATTGCCACGCGGTTCTATTAATTTATTAATTAGTTTATAAAATAATTTTTCAAAACCATCTGCTTGTGAGAACACTCTCCCCGGGGGACAGTGGAGTCATGTTCTGAGGTAAAATCATTTCTTCTTCTAATTGATAAGGTTGTCTTCCCCTTTCTAATTATGCATATCTTAATAGATTATGCAGACAAAAACATGCTATGATGATCTTTTCACAGGTTTCTGCTTTGACATTTATTGCTGAATAAAAAACCTGAAATAATCGACCAAAGACACTTTTTGATAAACAGCACTCTCGTACATGTTTATAGCTGGATTTCGATATATCGTTCTGGGTTAACGGTTTCAGAATATACCTTTGTAAACAAGCGGGCTTCATCGCATAGCACAACAACTGGGGCCATGATATCAGAAGAGGAAAGCTCCTAGTCTGGTTGGAAAATGTCTCCTTTCATTATGATTTTCCCCATTGCGGATTTATTAAATATGCCCCTATCTTCCTCTTTTCCGTAAGAGCCAACATATATGGCAATGAAGTTGTAATTTTCATGAACTATTGTAAGGAGTACGATTGAATAATAGTTTTTGTAAATTCAAAAAAGGGAACCACTTTTCCTCGGACATCGTCTCCTCATATGTTTCGCATCAACAGCGCCACAACAGTTCGGGAAACCTAAAAGTTTGAGGAAATCTGCTGAACTATAAAGGAAGAATTCTTGAGATGGCTGAGACATCAGTACGACTTGGCGATATGCGAAAAGCACACCCAAGCGGCGTAAAACTTTCTCCTGTTGCTAAGGAACCTGTAAAAAAACAAAAAAAAAAACAATAATTATGATTAATGCGTGAAATATAAATCATAAAGATTATAATGATTATCCAGTAGGATAATTGTTAAGTATAATAATTTATTTCTATTACATATAGCCAATGTAAGAAGAAGTGTTAAGATATCCGCGACAACTATTTTAAAATTCTCAGGAGAAAGATGCTCTCAACGGGGTGTGCTACCCCCGTTCATCCAAAAAATGGCCTCTGTTCAACAGCATCACTTTCTTAAATGAAACAGAAAGGAAACGGTCCACTTTCCGTAGCATTTGCCCATAGTGACCAGAAAATGTAGATATAGTTACATCAGACGATGACAGCCCCACAGCTGAAGTGGAGGACGAAAATCCTCCAACTAATGCCATACCTTCATCAGTCAGTGACTCGACTCCCTCTACGTTTCATAATACCCCAAGGGAAAACTTTGGGACATAATTAATGAAAGGAGTGAAGAACGCCTCAAGTTGTTGCAGCGTATGGCTGATAAATAACAACCGGATGATGATGTAGAGATTTTTCTGAGAAACATAGCGGCTACTTTGAGAACGATGCAGCGAGACATCATTGACCAGCGAAAATTAATCTATCAACCTACGTGAGCTTAGAAACGAAATTTATTTATGAAGAACAATCTGAGAGTCAATAATACTCAAGTACTTACTTACTGAGACCAAATTCCGTTCTACTTTTTCATCATGTTTGTGTTTTTTACTTTTTATGTTCGATACTTTTCTATAATGTTGGTATTTTACTTTTCTACGTTAATTTTCTCTGATGTTTGTCTATCTATTGTCTACGGTCTTATTGCATTTCTATATTTGTCTTTTCATAATGTTTGTTGCTTTACCTTCAGCTTGTTCTTCACAAATAAATACTGTTTGTCTAAGCTATTTTCATTTCTATGATGTTCTGTTTGTACAAAATAAATAAATGAAGTTAGAAAGTACAGAATTCTACATTTATCACTCGTTTTTATTCCCCGAATTTTACTTTATTAAATAGAAATAAAAACTAACATTAATAAAAACATGATTTAAATATATTGTTTGATATACAAGGACTGTAAAAGTTCAGTGAGATAGCCTTATAAGAATAAGAAATATGATATTTCTTTTGTTGGAATAAGTTATAGATACACTTACATTATAATGCATTTATTATTATGAATAATTAGAATAGTGAACGATTTCTTTCGTTGTTTATTTTTAATTTATTTAGTTAATTTTTATTGTTGCCTCTACCCTGCAGGGTCATTGGCAACACCTAATAAATTATATTATAGTCTCACCACTTTTAGGAATTTTAATGTTTTTTTAACAGCCTTTCCGTTGTTTTTTTTTAGGTTTGGTGCTATATCTAAATTTTTTCTTATACTTTTTAGTGTAGGGCAGTCTTGAATGATGTGTTTTACTGTACTTTAGACATTGCAGCTCTCACAGGTCGGAGGATCAAGTCCTTTCAGCAGCTAAGCGTGCGAGAACTCACGATGTCCAATTCGTATCGTAATCTTCAGAGGGCTGTCTCTTTTTATCTACAGGATCGACAAGAGGTTTCCCATTTTGAGCAGTAGGTTTTTATTTCTCTCAATTTAGAGTCCTTTTGCTTCCACTTATTTTCCAAATTTTCCACACATCCATCTAAATCTTTCTCGTGCAGTCCTCTAAAGGGATTTTATTGATTGGATTCACCTGAGTTCTGTTTACGTTTCTTTCCATGTTGGCTGCTAGGTCAGCCTGCTCAATTCCAGTGACCCCGCTATCCGAAGGGACCCATATGAATCTTATTTGTTTACCCTTCTGCTTTAGCAGCCAACAAAAATTACTTATTTTGCAAGAGTAGTTTTTGGCCTGGTATTTTCAATGGCTTGTAATGAACTCATCGAATCCGTTACCACTTGGTAGTTTCGGGTGTCTAAGGGCTTCTCTTATCACTACCATTTCACCATTAAAAACTGAGCAAGCCTCCGGGAGTACATGTTTAATTTAATATGAACAGTTACCTGGAAAATGGTACAACTTTTATTTTATGAGTTAACTGGAACTTAGTTTTAATCTTTATATTATTACCTTAAAGTGACTGATAATTTTTCTTTAGGTTTAATTGGATCCTGAACTGCATTGGTAATAGTTCCAGCAATTTTGTATCATACTCAAAACAGAATTGAATTGAGATTTATTCAATCTAAAAAAAAACCTAAATCTCTCTTCGTGGGCCATCAAATGGCTAGTTATTAATTTCGTATAAAACCCTTCTCGCTTTCTTGTTCCGAATATACTGCTGGATTTCCATCTCATTATCAACAAAATTTCTCTTCTTCTTCTTCCTCTTATATCAAAAAATTGGTAATAAGAGATAGTAAGTCCATTTTATCTCCGAAGTTATAACGAAATGTTCGAATGTTGTAGGAAGGTTATAATAACCACGGTGAGCAGTTTCAGCAAAATAGCAATAGCGGTTGGCATTATAGAATAGCAGTCTCTGCCGTAAGCAGTGCCAGCGAAACAGTACCTTAAAGGTTACCTGGGTCTTGACTTCGCTGATATTTTTTTTTAATTTTCCTATTTATTTTTACTAAATGTTTAAATATATTTTAATCCTAGCCTCTACGATATATTGCATTATTAGTACTGACAACAAAGAAATCAATATTCTACTGAATAAAAATTACTAAAAAGCGAATAGTGGTCATTCGGTCAAACCGTGAAATTTTTTAAATATTCGTATTGACCATTACATCCGCATATAAAGATTAATTTTATTTTTGCACATGCTGACAATTCCAGAGGTAACAATCCAAGGAGGATGTTTATCAATCAGTAACTTCCATAAGAGCTTCAAATCACTTCCAAGTCATGTATGGAATTGATCAATTCCAGCGCCTCAATATTCAATTGAGCCCAACATCTGGACCTCGAGCCCTCAAAGCTGCTTATGAAAGTTTAAAAGAAGGAGGAGCTCTCCAGGGCGAGATTTCCCGAGGGGGCGAGGACGTATGGCTTGGCTCCGAATGGCCCGCCTCTTCAGCCGCATTCATGTCCCAGCTGGCCTCCTTGTATCTTACAAATAGCCCTTAACCAAACTGATCTTTAGGTTTTATGTTTAATCAAAACAAAAGGTATAATATCGATTTTGGTGTACTAACATGAAGATATAAACGTCGTTGTTTTGCATCATTCAAATCATATTCCTACACCTCCTCCCTCTCCCTCCCTCCTCCCGTTTTTATAAGAATAATTAAATAATTTTACATCAGATTTAAATCTTTAGATTCATATTCATTAACTAATTCTACAAATAAATTAGATTAAGCATATGTATGATGAGAGATGGAACTAAAAGAGAGTGATTCGAACCGATACATCTTAAGCGATTTGGTATCCGTTAACGAGAAGAGACTCGAACTCGGAGAGATTCTCCCTTCACACAACTTCCTAGGTAATTCTTAAGTGACTCCTCAACTAGACGAGAGTGACTTAAAGCGAAAAAAAGATTGGAGCTCGAAGCGAGAGAAATTCGATCGTGACGCTTAACACAAAAAAAAAGGATCAACATTTCTGAAATCACTATTAAGTTGATTTGCTATACTTGTTACATGTAGATCTCAACACTTTTTCTCAATTTCTATGTTTTCATATTTACTTTCAAAATTACATTATACCCTTGCATTCTATGTATCATGTATCTTATTGTAAGATTTGTATATATAACAATTCAATAACAAATCAAATGTAACATATAGCAATAAATAATTGGAACTCATGTTTAGATACTCAGCAACAAGCCAGGAATCATGTCTGAAGAGGAAGAGATGACAACGGATTGGCTTGATTCTGAGTTCATAGCGGAGTGCCTTTGTTGGCATAACGTCTACAGGCAGAGGCACGGTGTTCCTGTGCTCTCGCTTTGTTCACAGGTAAATTTATAATTGATACATGTTAATAACGTATGTTTTAATTAGACAAATTACTATTAAGGTTTCCCCAGACAGGAATGATGCTGAACTCGCGAAATTGCGGTACAATATTTAATTAAGTGGTGATATTTAAATGACTTAAATGTGGGATATAAAGGTCAGTCGGTAGTCCGCCGAAACTTCATCATAGCAGGGCTCTAATGAACAATGAACAAGTATATTTACCGATAACCATCTCAATAATATACTGTCTCGTTTGCAGTATCACTTCAGTCTGAGAGAGCCTTAATGCATTCAAGTATTCCTATTTATGTACAATTTCTCGAATAAAATCATTCCATGAGGAACCTCCGTGATACTCAGCTTAAAAATCTAAGGAAAGCACTGAGTAATTGGCGAGAGCATGGAATTTCCCAATTCATCAAAAATCGTGGACTTCCATCGCTTGGAGAAGTAAAACGCTCATCAAATGTGGTTCTCCTAGGATTTATCACTGATCAGGCGCGACTTCGGGTAGAAATTTTATAACTACTTTCTGAAAACTAAAATGATAGTTTCATTTTTAAAAAATGTTACTTCCGATGACATACAAAGATATAAAAAAAAAGTTGGATTAAAAATTGTATAGAATAAAATAATTGTTCTTGTGTATGCAGTACAAAATGTTTATCAGCAAGGCAATTAATTTTCTTTTGTGTAATATTGAACATGGCTAAAAATGTCAAGGGATGCATAAGGCATTGTGGAATATTTATGTTGTTGGTTTAATTATATATCATGCCACTAGTGGATCCAAAATTTAGTTTTGGGGGAGAGAGGGGACTTCAGCCCGAAAGGTTTTTTTTTTAAATCTATAACGATAATTACTAATGAAGAAAAAGAAAGAAACTAACTACCTATATGAAATAGAGTTTAAGTGATTCTTTAAGTACTATTTAATGTAATTACACGAACAATAATACTTTTAGAGGTAGTTATTAAATATTTTTTTCATAAAACATGGTTACATTTTACCTTTTTGGGAGGAGCTTCAACTCGAAAGCCTACCAGTAGATCCGCCTGTGGTGCATACAAAATATTTTTATAAATGGGTCATACAAGGAATAAACATAATCTTGTCCTGTGAAAGATTAAATAATATCTTCACTTGCTACAGATTATTTATTGGCAGGCCAATTGTTTGAGATACAGATTCATCACTCTTACTTTAAATCAATTATCAAGACAATTCAGCACATTTGTATGGCATCAATGTAGGCCCTAAAACTTTTTGAATGCTTACCTCTGTCTTTACTTTAACGGGTTAAAAGAATTAATATTCAAAGTAATCATTAATCCATATTGATACCATTGTATTTCCAGACAAATAATTCACTAATGCAAGCTATGAATGAAACTATTCACTTTTCTTTTCTTTTTAGCTCTGTGAAAGGGCTCAGTCATGGGCTAATCATCTTGCACACACAAACTCATTCTTCTACAAAAGTGACAAAGATGTTGGTCAAAATCTGTTCTGTCGCCTCACTAACACCCTTCAAACTGATGTTACTGGTAAAATAAATTATCTTCATTAATAACAGTTTATTCAATTTACTTCTTCATTATTGTGAGCAAATTATCAGTTTTGAAAAATAATTTGAAAGTTCAAAAAAAATTTAATTTTATAAAATCTTCTTCATTATTACCCAATGAGTACAGATGAGAATAAATTTGAACATTCTGATGAGAAATAGAATTCTAAAATAATCCAGTCTTGCTTAAACCCAATACTCAAAGTGACTGCTCATAGTAAGTGCTCAATAACTATACCAGCATTTATCAAAACCATCAAGAATTCTTTTTAATCTTTAAGGCATTCAAATCAATTTATAGTAAACAAATTTCTTGAGATATCATAGTCTTCTATTCGTGGTTATTGAAATAATTCATAATTCTCTAACTTAAAGTAAAGTACTTTTGTCATTAGACATCAGAAAAAAAGACTTTGTATAGTTTGCTTTTTTATATTCCTCAAAAATGTTGGTAACGTAGCCTAAACTCCATATAAGAAATTGTTTATGCAAAAATTAAAAATAATATTGTGTCTTATTGCTGTAGGACAAGAAGTAGCATCTTATTGGTACAGTGCTGTGCGGCAATATAATTATTTTAAAGAACCTGATGTACTACATGCTAATGTAAATGCAGGTGAGATCTTGATTTTTTTTTTTTTAATTTTCTGCTACCTTACATCTGTGTTACCTTAATATTCAGTCAATAATTGAAAAATAAAATAGGCTGAATACTATTTTAACTTTGTTTTTATTTTTTCAGGGCATTTCACACAAATGGTCTGGGCCAGCACGCAAAGATTTGGCGTTGGTAAGGCGTGTTCTCGATCAGGAAAAATCCTTGTGGTTGCATACTATTGGCCTCCAGGAAATATTTCAGGACAATTTCAAGAAAATGTTCTTCCACCCATCCCTGAGTGTGAAACGGACTCAGTATCTGGAAGTGATTCGAGTACATCTCGAAGTGCTGATGTAAGCTAGGAAAAATAAGTTGATTTGTAAACTAGGGCTGCATTGGGTAAATTTCATTATTTATATAGTAAAAAGGATACAATCAAATTAACATTGATTTAGATTGATCATAAATCTAGTTAATTATAATTCGTAATTTTTTTAGATAAATTTAGAACTAAATTACTCAACAGGTTCCAATAAATACAATCATTTAATCCAATTTTAGAATCCTCCAAATCTATTCTGTTTTTGTTTTCATTGTTATAGGATAAATAAATAGAAGTATCAAAATCTGCTCCATATTTGACAATCAAATGATTTATGTAGCATTGTTTCTAACACATCATTTAATTATCTTATTATGGATAGTTTCTGACAATCATTGGCACTTGTATGCAATCATATATAAGGGTCAGAAAAATTAAAAGAAATATTTTATCCCTAGCAGCTCTAGCATGCATTCAATTTATTTGGTGTTTAGTGCCTCATAAAAAGTGATAAAATGGAAAACTGAAAGAGTTTTTACTTGAGTAGCTTTAGTTATATAATTTTGTATTCATGCCAAAAACATTTTTTATATTAGAAATGTTATAACATTAGATAAATTAATGTAATGAGTTCATATGCTACAAATAGTCCTGTAAGAGTGGAATGAATAAAAATGTGTAATGAACTAAACAAACCCTTTAAAAAATAAAACTTAAGAAATGGTGATACCAAGGAACTTCTTTCATCTCTGTTATAAATTTCACTTAACTGACAGTACCTATTTGATTAAAAGATTGTAATCAAAAGTTAATATGGTGAAGTACTCAAAGTAATAAAACTGATGCTAATGAAAACCTATAAACAAATTGCCTAACTTTGACATACATATAAAAAGGCCTTAATTTCATATATTCAGACATTACTATCAACTGCTTCAAATAAAGTAGAAATATGGCTAGTTCTGAATAATTGTCATGGAGAAGCTTAATCAAATCACAAAATAATACATTGAACTGAAAATATAAAATTAAGTTAAATAATACCAACACTCAACAGAATTAAAATTAAAATTTAGGCATTATATTTCAGTGGTAATTTCAAACGTTTTTAAAAAAATCATAAAAGATTAAATTTAATAAACATGTCCTTAAATAAGGACTGGTGATTTATAAATTATTTTGAAAAAGTTCATCAATAGTATATTTTTAAAAATTCACGTAAGCAATTACTTTCATTATTTTAATTGAACAATTTTATCAGTAAAAAATTAATTGGATCAAATAATTGATTGTATTAAAATATAAAGGAGTAAAATTGTGTCCACCAGCATATAAAGATCTACTAAAGGATCAACATAAATAGTTAGGTACATATCAATACATTCTGCTTTTAGCTGATGCTAAAATTTAAAAAATTAAATTACCAATTTAATTATTACATTTTTAAAACCTAGTAAAAATACAAATAATTAAAATTATATCTTTTTGAATCATGATTTTTTTTTAGTTATGACATTATCGTATTGAATAAGTGATTTATATGGTCAAATAAAAAGATTCATTAGCAATTTTATTATTATAAAATATGAATTAAAAAAATTAACATAAATCAATTTGTACTATACACATTTCAGAAATTAAAAAAAAAAAGTGATCCTAAATGCTTTGTTAAAGACAAAATATTTCAAGCCATGGTAATATTGAATGTTGAATAGAATACTAAAAATTAAAAAGCACTATGAAGCAGTCAACAATTGTATGGCCTTTTTAAATGCACAAAATGTTAGTATACCATTGTTATTGTTAAATAATTGCTTATAAATTGCTAAAGTAGAAGATAAGAATAAAAAACTTATAATGCTTACATTTTGTACACCTCAGTTATAAATTAATTTTAATATTAATAACGTTTTTTTATAAGAATAATATTTTAGACAAAAAATTTTATTAATACATTTTAAAAATCCCAGCAAAAAAATTGTACATTTTTTTAGTTATATGGTTCAGAACATGTATTAAGATTGATCTTTTGACTTCATTGTCTTTATGATATAACAACCAAAGTACTCCTCAACTATAATTTATAAGGTATTATTCTACAGTCAATCATGTGGTTACTGTTAGCGCAAAAGGTTGTATGTGAAAATTGAGTATTTTATGAAGAGAACATAAAAACTGATTTATTTCTTTATTATTTATCAGCATAATTTCATATTTTATTTTCCATCTGCTATTTTCTATAGTAGCAGACTACTTAAAGCAGATGCACACTACAAAATTTCATATTTAGCACAAATATAATGAGAATGTAAAATTGTTACATACGACCTATTACACCAACAGCAGCGATATGTATTATACCTGAGAAATTAATTTTAATAGAATATACTGCCACCATAAAATTAATGACTACAAAAATTCAATCAATATTTATAAATTTACATTAATTTTATCTTCACAAGTACATTTTGCATGTTTGCATTAAGTTCTTCAAGTATATATCAAAATAATCAAGAACTGACCTTTAACTAACAATATACAATTACAGCTTTTTTATTAGTAAGGAATTAAAGAAAAGGAAACACCAGCTAATTTATTTTTAGTAGTTTTAGGTTAAAACAACAAACAGAAAAAAAAATTTCCAAGTTCAAATTTGATATTTACAAAATTGTGAAATTGTTTTAAGTATGATTTTGTATCGGTGCTTAATATTATGGTTAACTCAGTCCTATTAGGTATGGGTTCAATAGTATGTAGGAATTTGTTATTTTTCAACTGTTATTAACTACAAGAAATTAAATTATTTTTATTTGGTTTTTCGTTTTAAAACAAATTAATTCATACCCAACAGGCTAAGCTCTATATAAATCTGAAATATGAGAAATAACTTTTTGACAGTAAAAGTAAATCTTATTCAAAATAAGCTGAAAAAGGTTCAACTAATTTCGCCCAATGATAATATTTGAAATATTATCATTGGGCAAAATTTGTTAATATTTGAAATTATTAGTAAATAATATTTGAAAAATTGTAATATTTTCCTCAAAGTCAAGTAACATTTCTATGATTAAAATATTGAGAAAACAGGACTGAAACATAAATCAGTTTGATTCTGAAACTCAAACTTAAAAGGTCATAAGTTCAAATTTTGTGAATTAATATTTACTGTAAATTATGTTTAAACTTTATTACTTTTTACAGATAAAGTATTGCAATTAACCTATCAACATAAATTCGAAAAGCCCTTCAAAATCTTGTCATAAAATCTGTCATACATCAGATACCATATCACCTCCCCGGAACACCAATGCAATTGTTTCCTTTGGTCACAGATAAAATTTCATGAAACATAATTTTTTGTCTTTTTTAAAAGTTGGACAAAACCAAAATTAAAATAAGGCTGTATCCAATAAAATGTTCATAGAAAATAAATATATTTTAAAAAATTCGCAATGTGAAGAATCATACATTTTATTGACTTTCTAACAAATGCTAAAATAATACAAATTACCAACAGGGCAGAATTATTTATTTTATTTTACCAACAGAAAAATTATTTATGAATGTGGAAATCCAAATGAACAAGACAGGTGTACAATTGTCAGGGTATGAATTACTATAATTCTAAATATGTACTTTTTTCTTCAATTTTTCCAAGGCATGAGATTGAAATTTGGTTTCTCAGGAAAGTAAAGGCTCTGTGATAGCATATCATTTATTTATTTCAGGATAATTTTCTTTTACATTGATAAATTATTAACATATAATATATAAATTATTTATCATTAAATAATTCCAATAAGAATCACTATTTAACATTTTATGAGATAATATAATTTTCATTTATTGATGCAATGTTGAAACTATCGACTTTGCCATTTTTAGGCTTGCCTTAATAAATTGCATATCATTGCTTTGAATTTATCACTAATTATTTTTATTTTAATGATAAATAGACTCTTAATGAATGCATTCAAACAATAATGAATGCATGTGGTAAAGATAGTGAGGAAGGAATAAAATAATTGTTATATGATAATTGTTGTAATTTTTGTAATATAGATATAAATAATATCAAAGATGCAATTAGATATTTATTTTTTGTAAATTTGAGGTAAATTTTAATAGCCTGCCAAAACAACACCACTAAAAATGTTTGCTACATGCATTATAAATGAAATTGTATATATTTTGTAAGCAAATTTTAAAACTTCATTTATTTACATTTGATTTTTGTTTACAAATACGAACTTTTATAGAACAGAAATGTTAACCCTAATATGTTTCAAATCAAAGACATTATAATTCTTTTTTCATTTTGTTCAGTGTTTCAAAACTATTTACAGTATGATTACTTTATTTTATTTATTTATTAAACTTTTTTTTCATGCTTTAATAATTTTTCAGTAAAACTCTCTAATATATTTAATTATACAATCCTATAAACTAGAAATATTGGAAATTTGCTACAATTGGTATTATTTAATTTAGAGCTCCTTACCTAAAGGGCGATGGCTTACTGGTAAATTATAGAAATTGCTCATGTTAGTATTAATTAAAATTAAAGGATAAAACCTCATTCAGTGAAATATTTAAGAATTGTTGATAGATGACTTAACATTTTGTAAACATAATAAAAATAATTGTTAGCTTAGATAATTTAATTTCAATAGTAAAAATTATTGCTTCCAAATATTCAATGTGCTAGTATTCATAAGAAAAGTACTGATAAGATGGTTATTATCTAATTCAGTTTTACTTTTTTAGAGTAATTAAAACTTTATTATAGTTTTATTAAATAGTCTTGCAGGGCTCTTAGCTCACATTTTAAGTCTTATACAAAATACTGACAAGGTTTTTAAAACATATATTTTTTTTACTTGTACTTTCAATTTATTTTATATTTTATTTGTTGTGTTATTACATTTATATTTTGTATGAGTGAGTCTGTTAATATTGAAGATGTTACCTATATATATATTTATATATTTTTTAAGAATTATAAGATTGAAATAAAGCAAGTGATTAGATTGAGAATTTAACTCTTAATCCTTTCCTGATATCTAATCCAATTCCTCAAAATCAAAAGATCAAAAAAGCGAAACTAATAATTGATGAATATTTAGTTTAGAGACAATTAAGTTTTTCTGAAAACTACAGTTCATCAAAAAAATGTTTAAACAATTTCCACCAACATTTTATTATTTCTTTTAGTGAGTACAATAATCATCCATATCTATTTTTTATGAATTACATGCCTGATTTTTTACTTTCACTTACCTTTGTATGTAATATATGGTAAGGAAAAGTTTTGCGATCGTGAAAATTTTCGAATCTGAGTTTTCAACGTAAATACACATTTTGAGGTCCCCTGAGTCCAAACAGCCAAGTCTGTGTGTATATGAAATGAAAAGTTCAAAAATAAAAAGGTGTACGAAACTGATATTACGTATTTAAGATAGGTATATGACTCAGATTTTACATCAACTTTTTCCTTAAAATCGGCTAACCAGAAGTGCCATTTTATATCAACGGAGAAACAAATTTTTCAAAAATGGCTCCAATGATTTTGATTAAACACGGTGTATCATTGTATAATTGAGTGGAATTTAATATCATTTAGGTTGATGTCTCTTTACCAGACTTAAATGCTCATATCGGTCTTCCTCTAAATGGTTTATTTTAAAAAATTAACTCTTTTATTGACAGTAACTATAAAAAATGGCTAAATATGAAGTTTGAAAGAATATGATAATTGGAAACTGAAGAAAAAAAAAAAATGCTTATTCAGGTTGAAAATGAATCTCCGGAGATAGCAGTCGGAAGATATACGTATAATATATCGTTGGAAAGAGGAGAATTAAAAAAAAAATTCTATGAAAAATAATATTCTACTTTTCCTATGCAATTTTTCTTATCAATAAGTTTTGTGGTCATCTAGTTTTTGTCTATCCTATGTCATATCCTAATACTTTTTAAATGATTCTTTTCTGACTAATTTGGTGAATTTGTGCTTTCATGAAGTATTTTGGCCAAGAAATTTATTCAAACTTTCACCTCAGATGGCAAAAATATA